CTTGGCTACGATTTAAAAAGTAATCGGAAACAAAATACATGATATATCGTTTGAACAGTGCGCTCGCAGTGAGTGACGTAACCATGGTGGTAAGATAAGGGGGGGGTTTGGGAGAAATTTGGGACCACATCCTTTGGGATGCTGGTATTACCCCCCATTTGATAAGCTGATTGAAATAGGTATGTCTTATTTCATTAGCTGCTTTGTGCTCTGGGTCTTCGACCATGAAAGGGGCAGCTGGCCCCTTTGTCCCCTGGCTACGCTAGTAAATACCACCCTTATGAGGGTCGCCATATTATCAAGTGTCAGAGAATCAAAATGCATTTTCTACTTACCGGCTTGTCAAGTCATCTTGGGAAGGTTCTAGTAAATATTGATGCACAGGTAGACTTCTTATTTGCGCGTCCAGCTCTATGATTGCTTTGTTTGTAGCATGGAGATTTATAACTAGTAGAACAATCGATCCTTTTTCATAGGAATGCCTAAAAATGAGAGGGTTACTTCATTACAAAGTATTCACATGATTGCTATATGATAACCCTCGACAGTTTTCAGTTCCGAGTTGACGTTAAAATGATTTTGCATCTCGGTTAAAGAGCTAACTGTCAGAAAGAAAGCAATAAGACTATACCAAAACACAGACCATGGCATAGAACAATTTCTTTCAAAGGCGGCGAGAGGATCCTGTATAAAGAGCTCAAATGTTTAGTGTAGTGTTCCAAGACATTTGGCAGGCCCTTTAGACTTCAAAGATTGATACTGAAATTATTAAGGACGCTATAACCATGAAAATTTCATCCATGGCCATTGATAAAGCAAAATCGCATCGTCAATGAACTTTGTATTTGTTGATGCATGCAAGTCATCGTTGAAAGCAAAGAAGTTCTTATAAAATGTGAAATTGTTGTACAAATATTTGAATGCAGACAAACTTTTGGACGTCCAAAAAGAAAGGAACCAAGGTACCAATGCTGGGCAACACAGAAAACATCATTAAGTGCAATGAAGAGATCCCTGCCTTTTTTGCCTACATCCCTCCAAAAAATTATTGAACATACATCAGAAATTAAGGCTGCTGCTAAAGGAGATGGATAAATTAGCCAAGTAGAATGCTTCAAAAACGTTTCAATGTGTTGAGATCGACTGGCAGTACGCCCGAGATACAATAGAAGCAGTAAGGCTTAATGACGACACAAGAAAACTTGCAGATATGATAACTGAAAAGAATGATTTTCCAGAAGCCCTAAGACTAAAGAAAACGTTTGGCTCAAGAACTGGTTGGGGATGAAGTGATGGAGCTGAACGAAGAATCCAAAATGGAATTTTCCCGTTAAAGGTGAAGAAAAGGGTGTGGCCCTGCCAAATATGATCCTCTAAGAAGGTTGGAGAAAAAAGTTATTGAGAACAGTTCGCATAATTGTCACTACTTTCCATCGAACTTGCTGTTGCTAAAAATTCAAGCAATGATGAAGTCCTTAACACATTTGCATAAATGTCGGAAAGAAAGCTGGGACCAAATAAGTTTATCGTACTAACAATGCTTTACCACAAGAGCACATCAAATGCTTTATACCAACATAATAAGTTATACGTTTCATAAAAAGAACAAGAAGTGACCAAATGACATCAAGACAAGACGCACCTCTACATCTTTAGAAATTAACACTATGTTTTAAAAATAGCAAAGCAAGTTTGGATTTAACTTTAATATTGCTTTTGCCACTATCAAAAGTTATATCAGAGCAAACTTCAAAACCAAATTCTTCATCAAAGAAATGTTCAACCCCTAAGAAAAGTTGTTGTATTCAGATTTGAAAATATTTTCTAGAGACAAGCTGCACTGTCATGTGCTGGCACTTCTGATTGGCCTAATTCGATCATTAACTGGGTGTATGTATTCCTAACTTCACATATTCAATAATTGTTCTCACGTTTTATAACCTAAAAATTATCAGATAAAAAGCTTTAGGATATTTCAAAATTTTTGTTTCAACCGATTTGAAGAGCATAAGCTGGGATGAAATTTCTAACGAAGCATTCATGCACATTCATCGTTTCACAGCTATGCGCGCATATCGAAATTTCAAGAAATTGGAACGTTTTGAAAAACTGCTGAATTCTTTTGGTCACGTTTTCGGTAGAAATATATAGGATAACACTTAGTGCGCAAGCGCTACAACTGGAGACAAGGACTCTGGGCTAATTTAACCTCTGCCGTACCTTTGGTAGATTTCGTTGTGTAATCGGGGCTTTATCAAATTCATATGGTCCTTATAGAATGCTTGCATTATTGTCTGCCTTGCAAAGAAATTTCAATCTAGCACATGTATGCAGTCCCTTTAATTACAGTCTTGGTGCACTATAGAAATATAACTGT